TTTTTACTCACGAAAGCTTATGCCCAAATAAATCTGTTAGTCTCTAAGGTGCCACCAGACTCCTTGTTGTTTTTGTAGATACAGACTAACACGGCTACCCCCTGATACTTGCTATATGGTCTGTATATCCTGTGTATTATGTATCCTTTATTTTGGTGCACCACTTTATTATATGATTTTTAAATGGAATTCTATTGTGTTTTACTATGCTCTATGTATTTTTTTCTTGCTTTATTAGATATATTATAACTACTTATTTCTTTTAAATAAATATTATTTTGTTTTTGAAGAATTTCTGCTTGTGTGTGTCAATCCTTGTCCTTTCAGTGTTAGCAAGCCCCCTGGTAACACCCTGGCAATTCCTTTAGGTCAAGTCACAAACTTATTACCCATTTGGACAGAATAAATTGCATAATCATAAGCAAGCCACTCCTGGAGTGCCTGAGATCCAAATTTTGGGGTAACAAGGGGTTCATTAACTCATCTAGATATTTGCCTAGTTTTATAACAGGCTCCATAAAAAGCACTAGCGAAGTTAGTACAAACTAACATTTCATACAGACAATGACTTGTTTAGACTGCTCTATATACTATACATTGAAATGTAAGTATAATATTTATATTCCAATTGATTTATTTTATAATTATATGATAAAAATGAGAAAGTAAGCATTTTTTCAGTAATGCTGTGCTGTAACACTTTCGTATTTTTGTCTGATTTTGTAAGCAAGTAGTTCTTAAGTGAGGTGAAACTTGGGGTACACAAGACAAATCAGACTCCTGAAAGGAGTGCAGTAGTCTAGAAAGGTTGAGATCCACAGGGCTAGGGGAGCTCCTGGCTGTAACAAGTCACTAATAACTGTAAGGCACAGCCAGGGGGCAGGAATTGGGCAGTGCAGGCCCTGGCGCTGTTGGGCGGTCGCTGGTGCTAGTGCAACTCATGGGCTAAATTGTCAAATTGGCTTTATTTTAATTGCTGTGATTTAATGATGTGCAGCAGGGGAGAAGACCACTATTTCCCCAGTGACAGAGCAGGTGCAGTCTCCCCCTCCCCCTGCCACAGAACGCCTTGTCTGGTGGTTAGGGTGACCAGATGTCCCGATTTTATAGGGACAGTCCCGATTTTTGGGTCTTTTTCTTATATAGGCTCCTATTACCCCCCACCCCCATCCCGATTTTTCACATTTGCTGTCTGGTCACCCTACTGGTGGTGCAGGGACTAGTAAGCCTGTTCTGGGGGGGGGGAGGAAGCGGAGGATCCTGGGAGCAGCGCGCGCGTTATTTCCGCAGCCCAGCGGCGCGCGCTTAGCCTTAACGTTTAGAGGAAAAGGGGAGGAGCCGCCGCCTTCACTGTTGCGGGCGGGTGCGTCAGCAGGAGTCTTGGTGCGGCTGCGCGGCGATTGCGCGGCGGATTCGAACGGTCCTGAGGCCGGCGGGGCCAGCAAAGGGCGGTTGGACACGCGCGTGAATTACGGGGGGCCCCGCGGTGGCGGGGAGGATGAAGCGAGCGGCGCCCCGCAGTACCCTGCGGAACCTGATAAAGAGACACAAGCCCCAGCTTCGTCTGGCGGCCAACGCCGACCTGCTGGTGAGGGAAGCGGGGGGAGGCCCCGGGGGCAGGGCGGGAGGGGGGCCCCGGGATCTGCCCAGACGCGCAGGGGCTAATTCCTGCCCCTAGCAAACGAGCGCCCCTCCCCCAGCGACAACGGCTCTGCAGCTGCTCACTATCAGGCCGCGTCGGGGGTAAGGAGCCAACTGCCCGGGGGGCGGGGCTGGGTCACCCTAGTGCGAGGGGATGTGGGGCTGCGCCGCCCTGGGGGGTGTGGTTCCCCCCCCCCCCCGGATATGTGACTGGTCCCTAGTTGCTCTGGGACGTTGGTTGACTGGAGAGTTGAGCTGCCCCTGCCTCGCTTGTGTGTCTAGGTCGCGTCTGGGCACCGGGGTGTGAGCTCAGCAGAGGGGCATTACAAGGCACCACACTGTCATCAGGGACACCAGACTGACCATCGCATTGTTAATACGTAGGCGTGAAAGGATTAGATGTTATTGGTAAATGGTTGATTTCACTGTAGCACACGGAACCCAATGAAAAATATTTGTCAATAATAATATTTGCAGATGGGCAAAGTAAGAAAAGTTCTACTTGACAATTTGATTTAAGGATATATACGTTATATGTTTTAACATGTGATAACTTGTGTTTTAATGGCTATAATAGTTTAATTTTTTGAAGCTCAGGGCAGGTCTATACTTAACGCTGCATTGGCTACAGCTGCACTGCTTTAGTGCTTAAGTAAAGATGCTCCTATGCCAGAGGTGGGCAAACTTGGGACCGTCCTGCCCAGCCCCCAAACTCCTGGCCCAGAAGGCTAGCCCCCAGCCCCTCCCCTGCTGTTCCCCCTCACCCGCAGCCTCAGCTTGCCTCGCCATTGGCGCAATGCTCTGGGTGGCGGGGCTGTGAGCTCCTGGGGCAGCGCAGCTGCAGAGCTACTGTCTGACCCGGTGCTCTATGCCGCGTGGTGGCGGTGGCGTGGCCCAGCTCCAGCTGGCCAGCATGGCTGTAGCACCGCCAGCTACCGGTGCTCCAGGCAGCGTGGTAAGGGGGCACGGAGTGGGGTGGGGGGTTGGATACAGGGCAGGTGAGTTTGGGGGATGGTCAGGGGGTATGGATTGGGGTTGTGGCGGTCGGGAGGGAACAGGGGGTTGAATGGGGGCAGGGGTCCCCGGGGGGCAGTCAGGAAGGAGGGGGGGTTGGATGGCAGCAGGGGGCAGTCAGGCAGCGATTCTGGGGGCAGTCAGGGGACAGGGAGAAGGGGTGGTTGGATGGGGCAGGGGTCCTTGGGTGGCGGTCAGGGAACAGGGGGGTTGAACAGGAGGTGAGGGCCGGGCCACGATCCCCCTCCCCTAACCGGCCCTTCATACAATTTATGAAATCCGATGCGGCCCTCAGGCCAAAAAGTTTGCCAACCCCTGTCCTATGCCAATGGGAGAACTGCTCCTGTCGGCCTAGTTAATCTATCTCCACGCTAGCAATGTTGATGTGAGAGAAGCTCTCCTGCTGACATAGTGCTATTTACACATGGGGTTAGATTGGTATAACTATGTTGCTCAGGGGTATGGATTTTTCACACCCCTGAGTAACAGTTATACTGATATAAGTCTGTAGGGTTGACCTGGCCTCAGTGTCTACTATCATTAAATTGTCTGACATACCAATAATTTCCTGCAACTATGAACACATAAATTGATAAAATTGAAAAAATGTTTGAAATAAATATTATTATCCATCAAAATTATAAATAAAAATCACATTCTGCCAAGCCTGTTTTATTTTGCAGTTACCTCTACAGGCAGATCAGATCCAGACCCCTTTGTTACAGGTACTGTATGTACAGTAAATGACAGACTCTGCCTCCAAGAGTATGTAGGCAATTTTTAGCCAATCAGAAGCAGTAATTGCAGCTTCCCACCTCCCTAGCTCTTATCATATTGCAATTTTCCATATGTATTACAGCAAAGGTGAGTTAGGCATCAATTAGTAACTATATGGTTATTTGGCCAACTTTTGAATAAATAACATATATAACTGGTGGTTGGAGAGTTTTGTATATAGATGCTATATTTTGGAAACGGGAACTTGGGATAAATGACTGTAATGCTGTTGTGGGCTTGTGGTTGACTGTCAGTTGACTGAATGTTGGTTAATAACAGAGATGCACTGCATGTATGCATCTTCAAGTGTGCATTTTCCGGTAAAGAGACCTGAATAACTTAGGCCTGAAGTTGAGGGATGGAATGCATTCCATCTAGTAATTTGAAGTGTACTAGCCACCAGGATTTCCTGGGTTCTGTTGTTCTCTACATAGAATAAGTACATTTGGAAATACTAGGTGGAGTAAAACAACTGGATAGAAGTCAGACATCTACAGCTGAATTCTCAGAAAACGGGTCAATGGAGTTATGCTGAGGCCAGGATGTATGTATGGATGTTTTGGCCACGCTACTACTTCTGGCTGTAGAGATGGGATGGTAGCATAGGAAGTGTGACAGTAGCTGTTAGCCAAGGTAGGAGGATTCTTAGGTGGTAGGTTAATCAGACTTTATGGGAGCTTGTGCCAGTAGCACAAAGCTGCCCTCATGCACAGAAGTATCTGGGTCTGTAGTGTTTGGGATGAAAGTTGAGTACTTTGATACAGATTTGGAAGTGCTTTTCACTTTTTTGTTTGTAAATGAATTACTTATTTTAGAGGTGCAGGATGAGGATTTTTGTTTACTTTCACATATATAATTGAAGATACAAATTAGAACAAGGTGTCTGAATGCAGTAATGCAAATTATTATACATTTACATGCACAAAATATTTCACTTAAATTCAAAATCTGGTTTATATGTTAAACATGGCATTTGGCAGAATTTCTGAGGCTGGGATTTAGTGTATCTGAAGCTAGATCTAGATATACCAAATAAAAATAGAAATAATCATGTAGAAATAGCTATAGTCCATAATGTTGTATTTTAAGGAACTGCCCTTAAGTCACTTGCTTAAAACAATATATGGCAGACTCAATGCTCAGAATGTGATATTAAACTAATCATTCTTGCAAAATTTAATGTTAAAAATATCTGTAGTCTGTGAACATACTTCCTGTTGTAAGGAGAAGCTATCTGTTTCTCCTGTGTTTTTAGAAGGAATGTCACAAGATGGTGATCATCCATGGTTGTCAAGAGTGTCACTTCTTTTGGCTACTGCTGATACTTTCTAGCAATATCAACTTCTATGAATTGACAAGTATCAACTGTATGAGTTTCTATGCCTGGATGTACATTGGACTCTGGTAGAAAGAGCACAGATCCCATGGTATAACTGTCTTTTTCCTAACAAGATTTGAAAATTGTGTTCTGGCTTTTCTATCGCAGTCAGTATTTGTGGCTTGTCTTTTCCCAAAATGACAGCATAATTTAGGGAGGGTAGGTTGCACATTTCAGATATGACAAGAACTACACCTCTACCCTGATATAATGAGACCCGATATAACACAAATTCAGATATAACGCGGTAAAGCAGTGCTCCGGGAGGGGTGGGGCTGCGCGCTCCGGCGGATCAAAGCAAGTTCGATATAACGTGGTTTCACCTATAATGCAGTAAGATTTTTTTTTGGCTCCCAAGGGCAGCGTTATATCGGGGTATATTAGCTAGTTCCTAAACTAGACTAAGGGCTAGGTTCACAAAAGGACTTAAGCAGCTAACTGCCACTTCAGGTGCCTAAATCCCAGTATCAGGTCCTCCTGGGATTCACAATACCCCGCTCAGCCACCACCTCACCCATAGATGCCTACATTTTTACAGTAAAAGTTCCCTAGGCGCCTGTGTTTCTGCCTGCCTTCATGCGCACTGCTGCCCCATGCCAGGCTTCCAGACACCTAAGCCCCAGAGTGATGCAGGAACTGAGGAAAGATAAGTGTTCCTCTGTGTAACTTGCCTGTGGGGTCTGATCTTGTAAGTCTGCTCAGAACTAGGCTACTGGATCAGTCCCCTGTAGGTGAGCTTGCACAAAATGTCTGGGGGTGAGAGGAAAAGGAGGCTCTACATCATAACATTTAGCCTGGTGGTTAGGGTACTCACCTGGGATATAGGGTATTCCCAGGTCAAGTCCACCTGATGGGAAGAAGGGATTTGAACAGGGCTCTATCACTTCTCAGGGGAGGGCCCTAACCATTGGGCTATGGGATATTCTCAGAGGGAGCTCCCTCTCTTTCTCCTGTTGATGCTCTTGCCATAGGTGAGTACTGGTGAGTAGATTCTTGAGGTGGGGAGTGCAGCAGCTGAGCCCACTCTGCAATCACCCTTCAGCAGCGGCTCCTGCCCTGTGGGGCTGGGACTGGACCTGGCTGCCTGCTCCAGCCCATTGGCTCTTCCAGCTTGCAGATTGGGAAGAGCATGCCACAGCATCATTTGACACGTGTTTCTGCACATGGGTGGGGCCTCACACCTCATGACTAGGGTGACCAGGTGTCCGGTTTTCGACCGGAACACCCGGTCGAAAAGGGACCCTGGCGTTTCCAGCCAGATCTTGGAAGAGTGTTGCTGTTTTCATAATGTAATAAAATACGGTAATGATAAATATTAATAATAGTGTGTAATAAGCATGTTATAAAAACAAATTTTATATCTCCAAGGTCACAGCTTTTATAATTTATACTCAACTGAAGGAGAAAATCCTTGGAAATATTCATTTTTAGAAGGGGGTTTGCAAGACTTGACATTTTAATGAAAGGGGTTCACAGGTTGTTAGTTTGGGAACCACTGGTGTAGATGCTTTCTACATCAATTTAAGGGATTTTCCCATTGATATAGGTAATCCACATCTCTAAGAAGCAGTAGCTAGTTTGATGGAAGAATCCTTTTGTTGACCTAGGTGCATCTACACAGTGGGGGTTAGGTGGATCTTAACTACAGTGTTCAAAGCACAAACCTTTTCACAGCCCTGAGCGACTTAGCTTGGTTGACCTAAGTTTTGGATGTAGACTAGGGCTTGGACAGAAATTTATGGGGTGACTGAACATCACATTTTGGGTGTAGTGCTAAC